AGTAATTTTTTTTTTTAAAGAGATAGGGATCAAAGCCATTTGAACTACAACTTAGAACTGCCAGCCCCAAGCAATGCATTTGTCGGGAATTCACTGCCCTGGGAGAGCGGAAGGAGCCACGCTCCACAGCATGAGGCTGAGTCCAGTCTCTGGGGCCAGACTGCTAAGCTCAGATTCATCTGGGCCCAGGTGAGGATCGAAGTAATTGTGTGCTTTGATTTCCTCATCTAGAAACTGGGGGTAAGGGCAGCACGTGGCCCCAAAGTGTGTAAATATAAACTATTAACCCATATAAATGTGTCTGGCAAGGGGTGGGCATTTGGTGAAAAAGTAGTTTAGGGTGCTGCTCGGAACGCCCACATCCCACTTGGGTTCGGGTCCCAGCTCTGCTTCCTGCTATTTTGCACCCTGGGAGGCTGCAGGAGGTGGTTCAAGTATTTGGGAACTGCCAGCTGCATGGGAGACCCAGGTAAAGTTCCAGGCTCCAGGCTGCAGTCTGGCTGTGCAGGCGTTGGGGGGTGAATTGGTGGACAGACGATCTCATCTGTCTCATTCAAATAAAAATTAAAATAAATTTAAAAATCTTAAAAACATGTCTGGCATGTGACAACTTTATACATGTTAGTTATTATCCCAAGTAATCTAAAATAGAGAATGGGAGAAATATTTTGTTGAAAATGAATTTTTTTAAATAATTATTTTATTTATTTGAAAGACAAAGTTAGAGAGAGAGGTAGGTCCAGAGAGAGAGTTCTTCCATCTGCTGGCTCACTCCGCAAATGACCTCAACAGCCAGAGCTGAGCTGATCTGAAGCCAGGAGCCAGGAGCCAGGAGCTTCTTCCGGGTCTCCCATGTGGGTGCAGGGGCCCAAGGACTTGGGCCATCTTCCACTGCTTTCCCAGGCCATAGCAGAGAGCTGGATCAGAAAGAGGAGCAGCCAGGACTTGAACTGGTGAACGCATGGCATGCCGGCACTGTAGGCCGGGGCCTTAACTCACTGCGCCACAGCGCCAGCCCCTAAATTGCTTTTCTGAGATGAGATAAACGAGGGTGTGTCCCAGCTGGGCCTGGGGTGGGCACAAGCTGAGCTCTGGGGGCAGTAGGGGGGTCACTGCTGGACCTGCCTTCCCTACCTGGGACTCCCAGCCCAGACTCCACCAGGAGACCAGCTCTCCTGGGTGTTGGGGACAGAAGCTTAATTCCCAGGGAACTGGGTAGAAGAGGGCGCTGCTTCACAGTCAGGCATACAGACATCTTGTAGTCAGTTCTATCTGTTTTCTGCTCTGGTTGGAGAACAGGTTTGAGACAGTCACTGACTGGTGTTTGAGGTGCGGGTGGACAGTGCTGGTGAGAGCAGCACTGACCCCAGACAGTGTACCAGCAGAGTTCAGAATCATGAGGTTAGCTTTGTGTATCAGGGTAAGCAGCCACTTGCCATGCCAGCATCTCATCTGAGAATGGATTTGAGTCCCAGCTGCTCAGCTTCTGATCCAGTTCCCTGCTCTAACGCACCTGGGAAGGCAGCAGCAGATGGCTTGAGTGCTTGGGCCACTGCCACCTATATGGGAAACCTGGATGCAGTTCCTGGTTCCTGGCCCAGTCCAGGCTGATGCAGCCATTTGGTAAGTGAACCAGCGGATAGAAGGTCTCTCTGTATTTATATATATCACACTGCCTTTCAAATAAATACATTTTAAAAAATTAAAAGTTTTTAGGGATTCAAATCCAAGACTATGAAAGAACTTCCATAGCTCAAGAACAAAAAACCCCAAAGAACCCAATTTTTACAATGGGCAAAAGATTTGGATAGGCATTTCTCCAAAGAAATACAAGTGGCCAACAAGCACATGAGAAGATGCTCAACATCACTTGTCGCTCCCCCACTCGCAGAGAACGACACCAGACCCTGCGCTGTTCTTTTTGCCCGGCCCTTCCCGGGTTTGCTGCCAGCCCCCCACTCGCAGAGGAACGACGCCGTCCCGGGTCAGCTGCTCCCACCCCCCGCCTCGGTGGAGGAGCGGCACCCCCGCCACTTTCCCCACTTCCGCGGAGGAGCAGCACACCACCGGCCGGCTCTCTCAGGGGCTGCTCAGATGTTCCTCAGACGTTCCCTGGTGCACGTTGTCTCTCTCCTCCTTTATAGTCCTCTTCCACCAATCCATGCTTTGCTGCCCACACGCCGAGCACGCTGCTCTCCTCCAATCAGGGGCAGGATCAGCTCCTGCAGCTTGTTGGTCGAATCAGTGAGGCAGCTGCATAGAAGTTGTTTGCTGTCTCTCAGCGCCATATTGTGGGAGAGCAGATGCATACAATTAGTCTTAGCAGTTCTAGTAACTTAGTCTCGGTTGCTCCCCACAATCACTAATTATGAGAAAGTGGAAAGAAAGCAAAACCACAATGAGATAGTGCTTCATTGGTAATAGTGCCTATTACCAATATACCACCACCTAAAAACACCCCAGAGAGCAAGAAGTGCTAGTGTGGACGTGGAGAGGTGGGAAGCCTCGCACACTGCTGGTGGAAATGTAAAATGGCATAGTCACTATGGAAAACTGTATGGCAGTTCCTCAACAAAATTACACCTAGGATTCGCACGTGAGACAGCAACTCCGCTTCTAGGTCTATGCAGAAAAGAAAGCAAGGAGTCAGAGACGTACACAGTGTGCGCATGCAACATTATTCACAGTAGCCGGAAGGCAGGAACAACTCAGGAGTCTCCCAGGGAGGGAATGGCTAAACAACGTGTGGCTATAAACACAGTGCAATATCACTTGGTGTTAGGAAGGAAGGAAATCCTGGCACGTGCTACGACACGGATGAACCTTGAGGAGACTGTGCTAACTGAAATAAGCCAGTCACAAAATGACAGATAAGGTCCCACTTATGCGAGGTACCTAGAGCAGTCAAATTCAGGGCTCCAGAAAGCAGGCGGTGGTCGCCAGGGGCCGAGGCAAGGGGAGAATGCGGAGTTGCTGGTTAGGAGCACAGACTTTCTGTTTTGCAAGACGAAGAGAGTTTTGTGAATGCAGGGCACTGATGATAGTACAGAAAGTAAATGCACTTAATTCTACCAGACTGTCCTCTTAAAAACGTGGCTAGGATGGTAACTGCACGCGTGTCCTTTCACCATAAACTCCCCGAACCCCAGCTCATTATCAACCTCCTTGCAAGAGGAGTTTTGTTTAACATTTCAAGTATTTGTTCAAAGAGTTTACTTAATGGAGATCTTCTACTTTCTAATGGTGCTAAGGGAGGCAAGAGAAAGTTACGCCTGCTCTCAACACCTCACACTTCCATCAGAGCAAGAGAGGAAGGGGAGGGTGAAAAAGGGCTTCCTAACAAGAGAGGCAGAGGGACTGAGAGCCTTACTGTGGCTTCAGCACTAGTCCCCGAGGAATCTGGAGGAGGGACTTTGGGAGGTGACCTGTCACGGGGGCTCTGCCTTCTCAGCCTGGTTAATCCACTCATGGGCTAATGGATCAATGGGTTGTCCAGGGAGGGAGGTGGTACAAAAGCCAGGCTGGCCATCTGTCTCCATGTGACACTCTGCTCCGCCCCGGGACCCCGAGGAGCTCCCACCAGTGAGAAGACCCCTCCCAGACGCCAGCAATGGGCTCCTGGACTTCCCAGGCTCCGGAACCCTGAGCTACATAAACCTCTTGTCTTCACAAATCACCCAGCCGCAGCAACAGAACATGCATGAAGACAAGTGCACAGGGTGTGAGCTCCAGAGGCAGGAAATAAACAGCACCATGGCAAACACAGCATTTGAGGGAGGAAGACGGACTTCAACACGACCAGCTTGGAAGACTGTGGAGTTGGACTTCAACATGACCAGCTTGGGAGAAATCTACAGAAAAGAATAATCTTGAATGTGGTAGGGAGTAGGGAAAAACAGAGGAAAAGAGAGAGGCTGGCTGTTATAAAGAGACATCTTCTACAATATTTCTACAGTAAGAGAATTACTAAAGCAAAGAATTCAGGATTCAATTCACCACGGTACCCTTAAGTACAGCCAGTGTCTCCTGAAATGCAGCCTTACAGAGAAGAAAGTACATTCCCAGAAATACCCATCTTATTCCCATCGTGATTTTCATCTCCACAATACAGGACTGTGGCCACAGACACCCTGGCAGGAGGCTTGGGTCGCTGTCTCTGGATGAGCCAAGGTGACGGGGTGCGAGGGATTTGAACCCCTGGGCCAGTCTTCCTCTTCCCCTGTGCACACCACAGCTGTCCCGGGTGTTAAACCAGACATCAAAAGAGATTCTTCACTCACTTCAAATGCAGAAAGATTTATTTGGTTTCCTTCATTGTTTTTGGAAATTCTGTTTTGGTTTATAAAACATAGAAATAGCCAACACTTAAAGCAAACATTCAAAACCCCAATGTGACAAATTATTGACTTTCTGCAATTAAGAATACATATATGAAGTTAGGCTACCAAATAGTGTTATTACAATGACAATTCATTAGTGCAAACCCTGTTGTGCTTGTGTAACACATGTTCTCTCACAAATCCAAAAACAACTGCTTTAAGTGTATAAATGAAAGCTCAATCCAGTCAAAAGTGGCAAAGATTCGCATATGGTGAAATGCTGTTAATTTCCCAAATTAACTTAAAAAACAAAAACAAAACAAAACCTTGAGAAGTTAATCCCAGGAAATGATTTTTCCTTATTTCTACACCCTAGAATTTTGGCTTGTCAAATACATTTCATAGAAATCAGGTAGCATTATGATATTCAAGAACATTTGCTTATTACTGTCCATTTCAAGTACCCAAGTGTATCTAGTCCCTTAATATTTTCAAAGACATGCTTTGCCTGAGAGTTTTTTTGGGGCAGAAAAGCAAGTGAATCACAACATGATCTTTTGATATGAAAACCACATTAGAAATCCGTTGGCCATTACAAACAGAGTGCTTCAGTGAAGAGAAAGCGGACAGTTGTTTCGCCATCACAGCTGAGCGTGGTTGAGCCAAGTAAGTCTTTCTTCCTCGAAATGCTTGTCTTCACTGTAGAGTCTAAGGCAGATTTTTCAGTAGCCCCTGGGGCGGGGCGGGCCGGAGGGAGGGGGCGGGCCCGGAGAGCAGAGCCTGAGTGCATTCAGTGGTGTGAGAGAGCCTAGAGCTGCTCTCCTGAGAGTCGGTACCTGCACTGAAGAGCTGGGCGTGTCCTCAGGTCACTGGGAACCTCACGTTCCAGCAGGGGACCTGGACCCCTTAGGAATCACAAGGGCCCTGGGAGTGCACAGGAGATGGGGATGGGAAGAGAAGGGGGCAGGGATTAAAAAAAAAGAAAAGAAACCTCTGGTCCTCTTGTGACACGCGGCAGCCAGGATGGCCGTTCTGTGTGAAGGGGACGGCTCCCCTCCAGGGCACTGCACTCTTCGGAGCAGCAGACAACTGCAGAATCTGCAGGCAGTAGCAGGTATCTCAGAAAGAGCAAAGTCCTAACCCCGCGGTTAGAAAAACAGGCAGACAGAGTGTGGACCTTTGTAACACGGAGCAAGTCTCAAATAACTTAGCACACTGATAGCTTCCCCTTTGCAATGTTTAAGGCTCACTTTGGAAATTGTGTATCACCATGAACATGGCCTGCAGCACGAGGTGACTGTAAGGCAGTGTTCCACTTCCTCTAGCATTCCTATGACAAGAACCCGAATGGACAATCAAGCACAAATGTTTCCTTCCCCACGCTTGCTGTAGTCAAAGTTACCATCACGAAGGCCAGCAGCAGAAGAGGACGGTGGAGGTGTGTCATTTCTTCTGAGCCTTCTTCCTCACCCTAAACCTTGATGGTGGAATAGAGTTCATCGATCTGTGACCTGAAATAGTTCCGGAGCTCTGGCCTTTTTGCCTTCATCGTTGGAGTCAGAAGGCCATTGTCGATGGAAAATAATTCATTGTGAAGAGCAATGCCTTTGATCTGCAAACAAACAAGGCTGTTAAAAAGGGAGAGGACAGGCCGTTGCCACGGCTCACTTGGCTAATCCTCCTCCTGTGGCGCTGACACCCCGGGTTCTAGTCCTGGTTGCTCCTCTTCCAGTCCAGCTCTCTGCTGTGGCCTGAGAGTGCAGTGGAAGATGGCCCAAGTGCTTCGGCCCTGCACCCACATGGGAGACCAGGAGGAAGCACCTGGCTCCTGGCTTCAGATTGGTGCAGCGCACTGGCCATAGTGGCCATTTAGGGGGTGAACCAACAGAAAAAAAACCTTTCTCTGTCTCTCTCCCTCTAATTCTGCCTGCCCCACCCCCCCCCAAAAAAAAAAAAGGGAGAGGACAGACGCAACCCAGTCTGAAACACACTAGGCCCGTGGAGGAATAAACACCCTTGCAGACACCCAACCCCTCCCCTCACGTTGGCCAGGCTGCACGTCTTTAACAAAGCACAGGGGTCCTGCTCCTAGGAGAGGAATCAGGACTGCATGCTGGCTAGCAGGAAACAAGAATTCGTAAGCTTGGTTAAAGAGTCCTCCCCTCTGGGGCAGGCATTTGGTGCAATGGTGAAGTCCCCACCTGGGCACCCACATCCCATACTGCAGTGCCTGGTTCAAATCCCGGCTCTTCTACTTTCTGTGTGGCTTCCTGCTAATGCATACTCTACTCTAGGAGGCAGTGCATGATGGCTGAAGCATTTGGGTCCCTGCAAGCCATGTGGGAGACCCAGACTGAGGCTACTGGCTTTGGCCTGGTGCAGCCCTGGTTGTTGTGGGGGTCTGGGGAGTGAACCAATGGAAGGGAGCTTTCTGTCTCTGCCTCTTTAAAAAAATTAAAATAAAAAAATTTAAAAAACCCACACCATCATTCACGCTTCATTTATTTCTTTAGATCACCTCATCTTCTATAATATACTCGTTTTAAAAAATGTTTGAGTCAAACCTTTGTTGTACAAGAATTCGTGTGCTTGGGTGACAGTCGTACCTGTTCAAATGGCTTTAGACCAGCCTCCTTGCCAAGTCTCACCATGTCTTCCAGGATAGCTTTTTTGACGTCCTAAGAAAGTAAGAAAAAGCAGGTACTTCCTCTGCTGGGGCTCCGCACATTTGCAGGAACACAGAGCGTGAAGACAGGACGCCGAGGCAGACTGCATGCTCTGAGCCTCACCTTATTTCTGCAGAGTTCTTCCACCGAGCCTTCGAAGCCTTTCTTCCGGGCCCAGGGACACAATGTCTCCACATCCGGCACCACGATCGCTATGAGAAACGCCTGTAACCCACACAAGCCAGTCGTGTCAGGGCTGGATGCACATGCTCCCAATCAGCAGTTTGTTCTTTCTCTGCCTCACGGAGCCCTGGGAGGGTCTGCCCTCTCTCCGCAGGAGGAGCTCCTGGCTCTAAGGTGCAGCTGAGACCAGGAATTCTGCAATTAATGTTTTAAAAGAACCACTAGAAATCAAAACCCAATAGAACCCTAATGTTTATTTACTTCCAGTGTGTGTCTCTGTATGTGTTTACATGCATGTGTATAATATAAAACAGGGTCAGAGAGGGCCGGTGCCGCGGCTCACTAGGCTAATCCTCCGCCTTGTGGCGCCGGCACACCAGGTTCTAGTCCCAGTCGGGGCGCCGGATTCTGTCCCGGTTGCCCCTCTTCCAGGCCAGCTCTCTGCTGTGGCCAGGGAGTGCAGTGGAGGATGGCCTAAGTACTTGGGCCTTGCACCCCATGGGAGACCAGGAGAAGTACCTGGCTCCTGCCATCGGATCAGCGCGGTGCGCCGGCCGCGATGGCCATTGGAGGGTGAACCAACGGCAAAGGAAGACCTTTCTCTTTCTCTCTCTCTCTCTCTCTCTTTCTCTCACTATCCACTCTGTCAAAAAAAAAAAAAAAAAAAAAAAAAAAAAAAAAAAAAAAAAAAAAAACAGGGTCAGAGGTAGATGTTTTCAATCTTTTCGGGGGCTATGTATTCTCCTTGTGCCAGCTTAAATATGTGCTTTTTCCTGTCGATAATCTTCAGGGTGCCATTCTGTTTATGAGAGGGAAGGGGGCTCTGAGTGGGTGTGTGGCTGCTGCCCCCGGGATCCACCACAACACAGTACAAGGTAACTGACAGGCACTGAAGTTGAATCCCAACAACATCTTGAAGGAAGCTCGTTATCATTTCATCTCACGGGGAGGGAAACCAGGGCTGGGAGAGATGAAGTAACTCACGCAGGGCCAACCAGAGAAGGGCCTCCAGAGCCCATGCTCACTCCCTGCTCAGCCCCAGTGGCGTGTCTGCTAACGAGCAGTGCTCTGCCTGCTTCCTTTACTCTGGCCCTGCCTCTGAATCAGGTCCACATGGGCCTGGTCACCAGCAGAGTGCCGTTCCTTCAGAGCTGGGAAAGACTTCTCCGTCCATGGTGCTCTGCGGCAGAGACTGCCAAGGTCAAGACGTGTTTCCTCTGTGGGCCGAATTTCAGCTTCCTCTCCCACTGTTGTGGAGGATACTCCTGGCCCTGTGGGTCAGCTGACTCCCCAAAGAACTTTGGGAATGCTCACTAGCATCCTAGGAGCACACTGGCCAATTGCCAGGTAGCAAAACCCCAACCCCACCCCCAAGCCAGCCCTACCCTGGGGCCATCAGTATGTCCCTCAAATGCATCTTTTGGGACATTCCCAGGGTTCTCTCATTCCATGCCAGTTCTCCATTTTCAAAAGGAGTGAACTGAGAGCCAGAGAAACAAGGAGATGCCTTCATCGGACCCAGAGCAGGAAACAAAGCTGGCACTTGGCTCCTTCTGAGCCTGAAGAGGGATTTAATGCATTTCTGAATAGGCGAGGTATCAGGAAAGCTGAATTAATTTTGGGGGGCATTTTTCTAGTCAATAAAAATTCCAGAGGATTAAGCACCTTAAATCTACATGAATTTGATAATGTGCAATAAAAACTACAAAAGCCAATTTAATGTTTGTAATTCAACACATTAAAAATGGTTCTGCGGCTAAACTCACAGCAGTTGGCCTAATCCATGAAACATCCCCTTTTAAAATGAACTGACAAACCAAAGAAACACATTTATTCCCACGTATTTGCGCATCGCATACTCCTGGCAGCCTACAATTCCCCCCGTATCTAGTTTCAGGCCCCAGTGTCAGGGCAGAGCAGGGACACTGTAAAAGGTCACTTTGATTCCCGTGGATGTGGCAACCAGAGTTCATGTTAACCATCAAATCTAAACACAGGGGTTCCAGGTGAGAGAAGACCCTAAACAAGTCTGCTAGGAGCATCACCCTGCCTCCTGCAGAAGTGGGACAACCTGCATGGCCCCTCCCACAAGGAGAAAAGGAAACACAACACAGAGGGTGCCCCTGGCATGCAGCAGGCTGGGCTGCACCCGGAGATTCTCTTTCCCACGGTGGAACCAAACTGTGAACACGGGAGGTGACAACTTACTGGCAACCATTTTCCAAGGTCCCCCGTGTGTAACCAGCCATCTTTATCCAAAGCTTCTGCTGTTTTCACTGGGTCTTTCAAGTAGCCCTGAAATACGTTTGGCCCCTTCACACACACCTAAAACCAACCAACCAACCAAAGATGCCATTTTAACAATTACTGCAGTTCCTCCAAAGAAACCTGGTGTTGTGTGTGTGTGCCCCAAACTTTGGCGAGAAGCCTTGAAGCCCAGGACCAGAGGGAGCTCTCGTCAGGGTCTTGCAGGCAGCTTCAATGCCCCAGTTCCCAGTTTTAATAACCTCAGCTGCAGTCAAATTGCAGGGCTAACACCCACAGGGGATGAAATGGCTGTGACATCATGAGGCTTCCCCCCCAGTAACTGCTGGGTATCCAGGGCAATTAGCAGACAGGAGATGTGTCCTGAGGCCCTGGGCCCCTGAGTCTCTGCATCCCGCTCTGCTCCAATCCCAACCGCGTGTGGCAGAGGACGGTGGTCATCAGTGCTCCCATCCCCACCCCTGCAGAAGGCCACATAAATATGCCTTCACGGAGAGGCCTGACTCCCAGATGGCCAATACAGACAGGCTCCACCTCCCTACTAAGCCGTGCTGGGAAATGGTGCTGCCTGGAACGGCAGCTACTGCGGGAAATGACCCACGGGGCTCCACTCACCTCGCCCTCGCCCTTGGCAGCCAGGTAGTTCATTTCCTCCACATCGACCAGTTTGATAAAATTGCAAGGCATTGGGGCACCCACGTGGCCTGCATATTGAAGGAGAGAGTGATTATGCCTATGGGGACTGCTGGCACTCCCAGGGCAGCCACTTGACAGAGACAAGCTGGGCATTAAGGGCAGCTCGGGAAATGCCTGGTTTGTGCAACTGGGGCCATCCTCGCTCTGGTAAAACAGTTTAGCTGAGTTGACCCCTAGCATGGAGACAAAACATCCAAAAAGGCTCCTAGGAGATTTCCCAATGTTTGATGCACTGAGTCATTCTTCAGAGGGTAATTCAGCTGCTCGGTTTAAGGGCTACTCTGAATACTTGGAAACAAACCTTCTAGAACTTTCACCTGGCTCCCCTATCTGACTGCTTTGCCCATGACCTGTCCCCTGCTGTTCGCCATAACAAGGACACAATGGGTACAGCTTCAGGGGACCCTGATTACTCACAAACACACCAGCTGGCTCTGATCAGATGGCCTTCGTTTCCTTAAGGACAGATTCACATTTAGTAAAAGAGGACAAGGCTTGTTTTCACAGTCACCTTAAGTCTCCTGCCAGTGGGTGTTCATTTGAGCTATCTTTCCAAAAACCAAAAACCAAAGTAATGGATATTATACACTCTTGAGAGTGTCACATGGGGCCGGCATTGTTTGCCACACTGGCATCCCACTAGGAGTACTGGTTTGAGTCCCTGTTGCTTGCTTCTGAGCCAGCTTCCTGCTAATGCGCCCAGGAAAGCAGCAGCAGATGGCCCAAGTACTTGTGCCCCTGCACCCATGTGGGAGACTCAGATGGAGTTCCAGGCTCCTGGCTTTGTCCTGGCTCAGCCCTGGCTGTTGAGGCCATTTGGGGAGTGAACCAGCAGACAGAAGATCTTGATCTCTTTCTCTTTCTCACTTTGCCTTTTTTTTTTTTTTTTTTTTTTTTTTTTTTTTTTTTTTTTACAGGCAGAGTGGATAGTGAGAGAGAAACAGAGAAAGGTCTTCCTTTGCCGTTGGTTCACCCTCCAATGGCAGCCACGGCCGGCGCACTGCGGCCGGCGCACCGCGCTGATCCGAAGGCAGGAGCCAGGTGCTTCTCCTGGTCTCCCATAGGGTGCAGGGCCCAAGCACTTGGGCCGTCCTCCACTGCACTTCCTGGCCATGGCAGAGAGCTGGCCTGGAAGAGGGGCAACCGGGACAGAATCCGGCGCCCCGACTGGGACTAGAACCCAGTGTGCTGGCGCCTCTAGGTTTAGGATTAGCCTATTCAGCCGTGGCGCCGGCCTCACTTTGCCTTATAAATGAATAAATACATAAATAACTCTTAAAAAGTATCATAAATAGTTCTTATGTTTTAATAATTTTAGCTTACAGAGATCTCTATTCCAAATTCTCTGTAAGGAACCAGGGTTAAAAATTAAACACCATGAAGAAGGCTCATGGCCTGTGAGCCTCAACCCCAGTAGAATTATGGTATGAGATGTGCTAGACCCAGGGCTTGCGTTGTGCTGTAGTGGGTTAAGCCAGCACCTGCAATGCCAGCATCCCATATGGGCACCTGTTCATATCTTGGCTGCTCCATTTCTGATCCAGTTGCCTGCTAACAGCCTGGAAAAAGCAGTGGAAGATGACATTCTTGGGCCCCTGCCACCCACATGATAGACCCCGATGAAACTCCTGGCTCCTGGCTTTGGCCTGGCCTAGCACTGGCCATTGCAGCCATCTGGGGAGTGAGTCAGTAGGTGGAAAATCTCTTTCAAATAAATAAATAAATCCTTCTAAAAACAAACAAACAAACAAACAAAAAAACGAGAACCTATGTTCCTAAATGGTGCGCATATTTATAACAAGTCAGGAATATGTACTTATCAACGTGGCACAGCAAAGCAGGGGAGTTCTGCAGTCAGATGCGGGTTGGAATCCTAGCTCTGAAGCAAAATGCTGTGTGAGCCCTTATGCACTACATCCTATTTAAGCAACACCCTGATGTCCTCTCAGAGCTAAGAGTACATATCCTACAGGGATCACAGGGATGTTGGTGGACGGCACTCCCATAACACACACCAAAGCACCCAACCCAGAACCTAGTCCAGGACAGGTGCGCAGTTACTTCTGTCTATCCGCCCCCTATAGCCCTTTGAGAAAAAGGTCTCGTGTTTACTCCTGTCCTGTGCCCAGTATAAACTTAATAACTAGCTGTGGATTAAAACTACCAGCAAACAATGAGGCTCTAACTCATTACTCGGCTCTGCTGGGCCGGACATTCTCAATCAGTTGCAAAGGGCACCCTTTCCTGGGGGTGGCTTTAGAGCTGGGCAAAACTTCATCAGCCACAGGGCACCTTTCCCCAGCTCCCCGACTTCCAGGACCGTCTGCCCCGCGGCCTAATTATGTGGGACAGAGCACTTGTTCAACTCTTTCAATGAACCAGTCAATGATCGGTCTGTCAACTCCCAACCATTCCAATAACCTCATCAGCATAGTAAGACTGCAGCAAAGGCTCCTGCCGTCTCACCTGCTGTCCAGTCTCCAGGCACGCTCAGGCAGCACCCGGCGGTGCACTCGGTCTGTCCGTAGCCTTCATAGAACTGTGTCACCAAGAGAGGAAAGACGATTAGCAAGCAAGAGCCTTACCTTTGCTGAAAGTGCACAAGTGATTAAGTGCCACTAACTGCTGAGTGATGGCTGTCTGGGAAGTCTCTTCTCAAATTCTCTGCTTGGTGACTGTCTATCCAAGAGCACAACACGCCTTATGGCAGCAGCCTAACACCCTTGCTCCCACAACAACTGCCTGTCCACGTCCATCTTCTACTTCACTTCCTGTGCACAGCAAAGGAGAAGCCCCACGTGGCAGGTCACGGCCTGCCCTGGAGTGCACGTGCCTTGTCAGGTCACAGGCATGCCTTACACATCCTGTCTGCACCACGTCTTGCCTACTCCTTTAAAGTAAGTTTCTGGCCTGGTGTGCAAGTACATGTATCATTCAGGACCACTCCCCTACCCCATGCCTGTCTCTAAAGGCTTATCTTATGCCTTACCCTGGAAAAAATAACACAGATGGTGGACACAACACATATTCCCTGCCTAGGATAAGTAAGGTTTATACGTTTATGTCCCTAAACCCTCTAGTATTAACATATCCTCCAAACAAGAAAAAGATAGGTACACAAGGCAGGGAGTAGGGAGAACTGGAGAGATTCATTCATTAAAACTCATTCTCACTTTCAGAAGCACTCTTCTGCAGAAGAGGAAAGCAAAACTAAAGTTCAGCATAGGGTTCTGATAGGATGATTTAAGCTTTCTATTTCATGGTTAGAGAAGCGGCCAAGCACATCTTGACAACAGGCTGTCTAACCATCTTAGCATCTCCTCTGCCATCTGGTATATTCATGTAACAGTGACTCCATACTCCTTTCACCTCTGCCATTCTTTTCTAATGCACGGGCTTTGATCATAATTTGCTAAGTAATCCTAAAACATCTACATTTTCTAGATAGGGCCAAATTACTGAAGAAGCATAAGGCTCTAGTGAAAACACAAGTGTATGAGCAGGCGCTCAACTCGTGCCCCGCCTTGGATATGGTGAATGGCAATAAGGAAGACCGTGATCCATAAAGTCAGTCCCTCATGGAGTTTGCTCACAATCTCCTAGGGAAGAGAAAACAAGCCGCTGATGGGGGTATGACACATCCCTGTTAGGAAATGCCAGGTGTGAAAGGAAGGTATAATAGGAAGTCTTCCTTTGAGCCGTTTAATGAGAACAGAACTGAAGTAGGATTCCTACCCATAAGCAAATTGGATGTGTCAGAGCGGGAATGCAGGATTCTGTGGTCTGAGCATGGCCGAGGGGTTTCAGAACAGGGCCACATGGCTAAAGGCATGAGTCGGAAGGATTCAGGAAAAGCCTTCAGCTGTGAAAGGCATTGGCGTTTAGGGCTTGAAACGAGCTTTCTGTAAGAACTAAACCACACAGTCAATCCGAGAAAAGCTAGGCCCCCGGACCCAGAAGGCAGCAGAGGCCAAGCCCTCGCCCCAGTAGCAGGAGGCACAGCCCTGAGGGAAGCGCCTCACAGTCTGCACCGCTCGCCTCCAGCCCTCGGGGCACCCTTGACCCGCGCCGCCTCCCTTCGCGATCCACCCCTCGGCCTGCAGTCCCCGCTTCCCACCCTTCCCGGCCGGGCCTCCTGCTCTAGGGTCCCAGTGCCCCAGCCTGGCCGCCCGGCTTCCAGCACTCTCCTCCTGGCGCGGGACCGGGTTCTGGCTCCCGGATCCAGCCGCCTGCCCCATCCTCCCTCCTGGCCCTCCCTCACCCGCCCCTGGGCCGGCGGGGGTCTCCGCCCGCTGGGCTCCCGCTGCCCGGCCTCCCCTCTCTGGGTCTTGGCTCCCTGCCCAACGCTCCCCTGCAACCGCCGCCGCAGCAAAACAAAGGACCCGCCTGCCAGACCGTGCCCATCCTTCCCGGCTCCCCGCAGCAGCTGCAGACCAGGCCGCGTCCCCGAGGCGGGCGCAGGGTGTGGGAGGGCGGAGGGAGTGGGCCCAGGACAGGTGGCGCCTGGGGGAGAGCGGGCGAGGGCTGCACTCACCACAGTCTCCACAAAACCAGCAGCACCTGCCTGCTCCACGTCTACACAGCTTCCGCCGTCTGCCAAAGCTGGAGGTGAGCTCGGCAGCTGGCCCCGCCCCCTCTGCCCCGCCCCGCCCCTCAGCTCGTGCGCGTCCTCCTCTCGCAGGCACGTCCCGCCCCGCGCCGCTCCGAGTGCAGCTCGGGGCCAGGCTCGGCGCGCCCCGCCTCCCCGCCGCGGCCGCCCCGCCCCGCGCCTTGGCCCCGCCTCCCCGCCGCAGCCGCCCCGCCCCGCGCCTTGGCCCCGCCTCCCCGCCGCAGCCGCCCCGCCCCGCGCCTTGGCCCCGCCTCCGCGCCGCGGCCGCCCCGCCTCCCCGCCCCGCGCCTTGGCCCCGCCTCCGCGCCGCGTTTGAAGTCCGGCTCCCGCGCTCAGCTGCGGACCCCGGGCTTCCTCCCGCGTTTGGGAGCGTCGGAGAGAAGCCGCCGGAGACTCGCAGGCCGCGCCCGGCCCAGAAACGGACAGAGAAAGCCGACAAGGCCGGGGGTGCCTCCCGTTCCGAGCTCCGGAACCCGCGCTGGTAATCTCTGCTTCCCTCAGATGCCCCGAGACCCGGCCTTGGATTCCTGGGCCCCTAAATCGGACGCCTTGCCTGCCCTCCTGGGGCGCGGCCTCCTTTGGGTCCGGGGCTCGGTTCAGACTTGCATGCAAACTGTGACGCGTTTTCACGGGAGGATATACCAACACACCTGAGCGCAAATTCTGCGGCGGATTCCGACAGCTCTGTGATATGCCAAGCACAGATCAGCCATTTGTCAGGGCTACAGTCAGGGCCTGTCTTTGAGGCGCAGAAATATGTGCCCCCCCCATCCCATTTTCTTACTGTATCGCTGCGACAGGCGCTTGAAGAGTTCCAGTCCCCACCAGGGCTTAAAAAGGTGGAGCCCTTTCCTTAGGCCAAGGGGAGAGTCGCGGGAGTTAAACTCCGGCCTAAATTGGGCTTTTGACTCCCTGCTGGGGTCAGGGCTACGAGTGCCTGCAGCGGAGCTGAGCGCTGTGGCGGGCGGGGATTCCACTGGGGGCAGGCGCAGGGGCAGGTGTGGTTGAATGAGCCCCCGCCCCCCACCCGTAACAGAATGATGCTTCCGGTAAATGGGCGCCAGCTGTCTGCTGTCTTCCTGGGAGTTGTTTTAGTTTACTTAGCCTGCAGAAAGTTACAGTGAGACGGGCTGGCGGAATGACTGCTGGCTGACAGCAGCCGCTCCTCTTCACAGGCGTGGCAGAACGTGAGCCCGACCTTGAAGGGGAGGAGAAAGGCCGCGCGGGGCGCTCCGGGTGCAGGAGGGCTTCTGGACCGGCCCAGGAGCAGCGAGTGGGCACTGTCGCTGATTCGGTGGAAACAGGACAGAAGTACAAGCTGCTTTAGGACTTGGTCCTGGAGGGGTTTAGTCTTCGCGGGGTGTACTCCGAGGACTTGAGTGATGCCATGGAGTAGGAGTGGGTATCCCTGTGAGAGGTTAGGGCAGGCTGTAAGGATGATTAGTTGGGCATTTGTGCTGTTTAGTTGAAAGCTCCTGTGCAGAGTATAGGGAAGAGTAACCGGATAAGAACAATACATCCCTGTGTGCTTTCTTAACCCTTACGAGACGTTTTTGAGGAGTTTAGATATGTTACATCTATGTAGGCATAAAGCTAAGAAAGAAAAAATTCTGTCATTCTAATTTTTTTAAAGATTTTATTTATTTGAGAAGTAGAGTTACAGAGAGGTCGTCTTTCCACTGGTTCACTCCCCAGATGGCCGCAATGGTCAGAGCTGCACCGTTTCGAAGCCAGGAGCTTCCTCCGGGTCTCCCACGCAGATGCAGGGGCCCAAGGACTTGGGCCATCTTGTACTGCTTTCCCAGGCCTTAGCAGAGAGCTGGACTGGAAGAGGAACAGCTGGGACTAGAACCGGTGCCCAAATGGGATACCAGCACTGCAGATGGAGGATTAACCCACTGCACCACAGCACCAGCCCCTCTAATTTATCCAGAAGTAAACATACAATTAAAATTACTGTAAGTTCATTATGGAATTAATTTTAACAGTATTTATGTGAAAGAGTGACAGAATGAGATCATAATCCACTGGTTCACCCCCCAAATAGCTATAACAGGCAGGCCTGTGCCAGGCAGGTGGCAGGCAGTCCATCTGAGTATCCCACCTGGGTAGTTGGAACTCAAGAACTTGAGTCATCAGCTGCTTCTACCCAGGTGTATTGGCAGGCAGCTGGATAGTGGAGTACCTGGGTCTTGATCCTGCACGTCAGTATGGGATATGGGTGACATCCACTGTGCCACAACACTTGCCCCACAGAAATTAATATTTTAAAAGATCGTATTTAAAATTCAGAGTTAGAGGGGGAGGGAGAGTAGGAGGGAAAGAGGGAAATAGATACCTTTCATTTCGCTGGTAACTCCAAGTGGCTGCAGCAGTCGGGCTGGACCAGGCTGAAGCTGGGAGCCTGGAACTCCATCTGGGTATCTCATATGAGTGGCAGGGGCCCAAGCACCTGGGGCATCTTCCTCTGCTTTCCCTGGCACATTAGCAGGGAGCTGGATCAGAAGTGGAGCAGCCACGACTCGAATCAGCACTCATATGGGATGCCAGTGTTACAGGTAGCACCCCAACGCCATCCTGGAAAAATTCAATCACATATTTCTTATGAATATGATAGCAGTAGAAGCAACACTATAAGTCATACTTAATAAAACACTTTCAAATATCAGAATGTTAATAAATAATAGAACTGTAATAATACCAGAACACACAAGATACTGTTGAATCTGATCTTAAATAGAGGGAGAAGTTGGAGTTGGGGGATAGAGATGAACTTATGAGTAAACAAACAAGAACAAGGAACTGGAAGAACTGGGCTGGGGGAACCGTGGCCAGGTGGGTTTCAGTCTTCCTGGAAGCCAGTGATAGAAAGCACACGCCCCTAGTCCAGCTGATTCTGAGAACCAGACCATAGAAGGTCCCAGCTGGGCAAGTCTGGGCATTAACCTCGGGCAACCAGGGCTCCACTTCATCACCTGTGCCCCTTTCCGCACTAGTACTCTAAGAACACTAAGCAGCTGTTTTTCTTAGACCACCTTTAGTTGTAAAATCTGTAACCAACATGGTTAAATAATGTTAAGAAATAATAGAGCTCTTTAAGCCTACTTTTAAAAAATATATTTCCCTTTGGATGTTGCAAACTTAACAAAAATAGTTATGGTCCCTGGTGAATAGGAACTAGGATGTATAATCATACAAAGGAAAGACAGCACTCTTTCTCCACCAGGAATTAAAAGCATTGCTAACATGGTGACAGGCTCCCGGAGGGTGGGGATGAGGAATATGATAGTGCCAAATCAGAATGCCAGATGCCTTCCTGTTCTCCATTTCCTTTGCTTCTGTCATTCAAACCTCCTATGTGAATAGCTCAAGTCCCAGTTGTCTTCTGATCCTCACCCCAGCTGTTAAAATTTTTGCTGCACAAAGGACACAGAGGGTACGATGTGTACTGAACTCATTTTCTTTATATCTGTGTTGATGCTTATGGTTCCCCAGTCCAGTGAGTCAAACTGGTTTTCCATTGTGACTTCAGGACTTCAACATTTGACACATTTGCGTGGTCATACAAAGATTTCTACAAAATCAACAATTTTTCCTGGTAATGGGCTGGTGTTGTGACATAGTGGGTTAAAGCCAGTGCCTGTGATGCTGCCATCCTATATGAGTGCCTGTTTGAGTCCCAGCTGGCCCACTTCAATCCAGCTCCCTGCCTATGTGCCTGGGGAAAGCAGTGGAAGGCGGCTCAAATGTTAGGAGCCTCTGTTACCAACGTGGGAGACCTGGGTGAAGCTCCTGGCTTCTGTTAGGCCTGGCCCCAGCCATTGTGGCCATTTGGGGAGTGGAGCAGTGAATGGAAGGTCTCTGCCTCTCCCCCTCTCTCTGTAACTCTAGCTTTCAAATAAATAAATACATCTTAATTTTTTTTTTCTTAGTAAGATTTCAGTGTCTTGGTGTGAACATCTACTTGGTTGCTCATAGTTGTTGGTTAGATCCTATTAGATTGAGGTATGATCACATCCAGTCCTTACTTTCTTCACTGAGTAATCAGATTTGTACGAAAGTTAGTAAATTTCAAAGAAAGTCAACTTCTCAATTAGCTTTATCTAAATACAGTGGTATTTTATCCATATGTGAATTGGAGTAACTGAACATTCAGATTCTATTTTATGAAAAGGAACCATTGACAAGTTAAAGCAGTTTCTTGGTAACAAATTGCCCATCTCCTCAATCCAGGAAATGATACTCCTTTCTGAGGCATACCTGTTGTGAACTTTAAATCAGTGCCTTTAGAATTTGTTTCTTGGCTTATAATTTTCATATGGATTAGGTATAACTAAGAATAATCTTGGGTCTGTTATGGTAGATGTCAGATTTGAAATCTGAATCTTAAGCCTTTTATTCTAAGGTCTGATACTGCTCTCCTTTCTGAACCTTTCAAGGGGATTCTATTTTTCCTTTTAGGGACCATATCATTTGCCAGTGAACTTCTGTTGCTGCAAAATTTTCTGCTAAAATTCAAGGTAATGTTTATCAACTTGCTAAACAGAAAGGCATTGCCAAAGGTAAATAGAAATTCACTCTTAAATGCTTTATTATGTATTTCCCTTTAAAACACCTGATGTTTTTCACACAAGTAAATTATGATAGATGTTAATGAAGAGAAACTCTCAAATACTATTTCTTTATAAAGATCATTCCCAAACTTAATGGTTTAAAAAAAGCTACATTTTTGTTACAGTTCTGTGGATTGGCTAGGCAATTCTGTGGGTCTCTCCTGGAGTTGACTCATGCATCCTGTTCAAATGATGGATCATCCACACTGATTTAACTGACATATTTGATAGTTGTGGCTATTGGCTGGGATTCTTGGTTCTACTCCATATTGCTTTTAATCTTCTATGAGATTAGAATTATAGCATGACAGTTTCAGGGTAAGACTCCCGGATAGTCAAAGCTGATGCAGTCACTTACTAAACCTCTGCTTGCTTCATATCTGTCAGTGTGACGTTGGACAAAGCAAGTCAGTGTGAGAGCAAGCTTAGATGGCATCTCTTATTGGGGAAAACCAGCAGTGTTTTGTGGCTGTTTTTAAATTTACAGTGGAAGTTTTCTTCCTGTTCTAAAATACATTGTCCTTTTTCCTTTGTAGATAAGTCGGGAAAAATGTTGCCTGGTTCCCTTACATTGGCCTGGCTAGCATATAAGTATCATATGGAAGCAAAATTCAGCCATTACTATAGACACCCCAAACTAGCCATATTGTAATTCTTTCATTACACCTGTTTTCCCAAATAAAAGTTATTTTGGGAGAGAAGAAGAGAAATGGACAAAAATAGTGGAAAAGAAAAATAAAAAATGCATGTTGGTATCTATTCATGAACTCTGCATTAAGAAATAATACAAGAGCAGTAGCAAAGGTAGCAGCGCAAGCTGAGCCAGGTAGTTAGCACTTGATGGAATACAATAGTTACAATAAAAACTATAGTGATACAAAAAGCACTTACGTATACATGAGGCTTTGTAATTTGTGACATTTTTATCACATTCTCATAGGAAATTTATAAAGTATTGAAGATGATGTTGATTCTCATTTTGCACTTGGTTAAACTAAGATTCAGGAAGCTTTATTATGTTGTCCAAGGTCACGGTACTGTTTCATGGAAAAGCCAGAATTTAAAGATTTCTGATAAACAACTTTTCTGCTTGTAAAACTCCATCCAAGAAGCAC